CCCCCCCCCCCCCCCCAAAAAAGTGTTGCAAACATGCCATGGCACAAGTCCATATGGCTGACTCAGTACTTGCAGCTCCACAGCCACTAACAGCCACAGTGAGACTTATCTAGGATTACTCCATGTATCATCTGACAAGAGGATAGTGCCTGCAGCACCCCATGGGCTCACCTTCTCCAATGGTCCTAGCAGCTGACCTCGGACATGAGTCTCCTGGAAGTACATCACTGTCACTGAGACAGCTTGATGTGCTAACGTCCGTGATTTGTCTCACTGCCAAGCTCTTTCAGAGACCAAGAAAACTAATGGCAGTGCTTCGGATTAGAGCCAAGTGATCATTATATAGCAAACAAGGTTGCTTTTGTCGGCATTCACAAGACTGTAAATTTGGTAGCTAGATACTAAGCAGTCCCGACTCTTGGTGAAGCGTTAGTTTAGTGGCTGTTCAGCTGTCAGATTGATGCCGGCCTCACATTTATTACAGTGAACGTCAAGCATTGGACTGCTGACTAAATTATTTTACTAATTTCCTTTTCAAGCTGTTACTTTTGGTGGGGGGGGAGCGTGTCCCATGGCTCAGCTGTCATTTGGAAACCTCATCACAGGGGAATCTGATGTCACTACAATATTTTTGATGGGCAGGAAGGTTTGTTATACATAGGTCTGATATTAGGCTCATATTTGGAGCTTTCCCTCGTACAGCAAAGGGCTGCAGGCTGCTGCCTCCACACATGCTGCTACAATCTGTAACATCTCCTTAAGAGGCTGCACTGCAGTAACAAGCAGGTATTGAGGGAAATAACACGTGTCACCCATTCACCTATTGTGCTGAGAGCAACATTCGCTCCTCCACAGAGGACCAACACAAGGCCCGTGTACTTCTTAAGTGCCACTTGTGCCCTTAAAATAGAACCTAAGTGGTTCATAGGCCTTGTGTTAACTCTCTGCACAGTAGAAAATTTCACCTATGAGTATGCAAATTTTCTCCTCTCGAAAAATTTGAGCTCAAAAGAACCATCTGTCACATGAGAGGTTGGTGTTTTGTAGATCCCTGGCATGGAAAGCTTTTCCCTTGCCAGAATGGGGGGCATGCAAAAATTAAAGTCAGTGGGATGTGTTCATAACCGATTATTTTCCATTTATTGCACTGGAGCTAGTAAATAGGCCTTCCTGGCTAATCCATTTTTAAGCATGAAGAGTTCTACAATTACGGCAGTTGTTGATGACATTTTGCTCTTCTTTAAATATCAACAGAGGGCAATTATCACTAAACATGTCTTGCAGACATGGCACCTCAAGCTGTGTTCACATCAAGTCTCGCAAGTTAAATAGTGCTGAACTCTGTGCAGGCACTCGTGTGAAAAGCCAGGTGCCGCAGAAAGTAGTAGGAGTGACTCAGTAGGTGACGCTGTTGTCTCGGAGCAAAGTACCACACCACAGGTTGAAGAGACAGTGGGGCACTGCAGTTTTGGGAGGGGGAAGGCTCACCAAGTCCCAAGATGTTGTAGTCATGAACATCCCCTAGAGTGTTTGACAAAAGATGAGGTTATTCTGAACTAACTCCAACCTTGGCCATTGCATCCCACCTATCTGACTTCCTTCTCTGGTTTCAAGTGTCCACTTTCTACCCCAGTGTTTTAGTTGAGGCCAATAAACAGCTGTCACTCATCACCCTCGAGGGGTCAAATCTACAGCATGAGACAAATAGGATTTCTCCTTGGAGAGAATGTGGCCTGCACTTTGGGCTGTGTTCCCCCGGGCATGCCTTGGTGCTCTCAGCAGCCTTTATAAGTGGGTAGCGGTTGCTCTTCCCATGTGCAGCTCACCATCCTTCTCCATTCAGCACCCAACAGAAGGAAGCATCTTTCCTGCCTGATTCTCCATGGGGTAGGACTCCTTTAGCGACTGTATATGGTGGCTCGTCCCTCTCCACTCCGACCTGCTCACCCCCCCACACACCCTCATTGCCAACATAGCAGCATCTTCCAAAGCCACGGCTTAGCCCTCAGGGTCTTAATGACTGTCTATTTATTGCTTGCTGTGGTATTTAATGCTATTCTTGGAAGGGAGGTGTTTATCATCCCTGGTGGGACCATATAAATACAGTGCGCTTGCATTTCTTACATGGCCTATGTAGAAATGGCAGCAAAATGAAATATATGACTGAATACCTGTACAATACATCCCCTGGGCTTCAGAGACACAGCTTAGCTACCCTTTAGAGAGAACAGCCGTGCAGATCATCTAATGGAGTACAAATAAACGAATGTCTCGTGACAGCTAGCCTTTGAGTGAATTTATTATTGAATTACACTTCAGCTTTTTAAGAACAAGCTGAGCTGACAAGCTACCTCATCACTGCAAAAGAAAAAGAAAGACAATGATAAATTACCCTGATGGATAAAGGTAAAGACCTTGTCTTCTCTAAAATACCAGCAATTATATATTATTCATGTTTGAGCAAAAAAAAAAAAAAGAAGAAGAAGAAAAAAATCACTGCCCATATTGAAATGAGTGTTTATGATGATAAAGCAAGGAGCTAAATTAAATTCAGAATGCACAGGATGTCTTTTCCCATCATTTTGATGAACAGATAACAAGAACTCTCCTGCCACTTGATCATTCTTGTATTGATTTCAAAACCACTTACTCTTGCTGTTTGCTTTGTATCTTTAAGCCATTCTTAGTTGTCCGTCACCATAAGGAGCTGCACAAGATGCAGTGGTGTCAAATTGTTGACTTTCAAGCAGGACACCTGATATCCTTGTTCTCTCTTGAGAGGCGGGTGTGAGAAAATTGCAGGAGCAGGCTAAGCTCACGGCCCATGGAGCCTGTCATGTCAGATGTCAGTGTTGGACTGAGCTACCTCTGGAAGCCCTGAATGGAAATGGCTTTTTCCTATGGAGTATGCAAAAAGAAGTCAGAGAGTGTGTAAGTGAATGGGAGTGTTTTTGATTAAGGGTGCTAAAGCATATTAAATGTTTTGGCCCCTGGATGGTGACACAGTTTTCATGTCAAGCCATGATTCTCTGCTGTCAATGTAAATAAATTGCTGTAAACACACAGTGATGACATGGGCAGCTGGAAATAAGGATTTGACCTATGGAAAACAGCTCAGCCTTGGGTCTGAGTGACCTCCTATG